ATTCTGATATTTCATCCTGGATATTATAATTTAAGAAAGATTATTTATTTATTTTCAAGGCAAAGTATTAGAGAGATCTTACATCCTCAGGTTCACTTCCCAAATGACCAAAATAGCCAGGTGTCAGCAGACCAAAACCAGGAACTAGGAACTCCCTGCAGATCTTCTACATAGGTGACAGGGGCCCAAGGCCTTGAGCCATTATCTCCTGCCTTCCCAAGTGCATTGAAAGGGAGCTAGGTTGGAAGTAGAGCAGGTGGGACTCAAGATAGATGCCCACATGAGATGCTGGTGTTGCAAGTAGCAGTTAAACATGTTCAATTGCGATGCTGGCCACCATCAGATATTATTTTTTCAATATTAGCATCTATTTAGATTTGAGTGACAGGATCCAAGGACTTGGACTTTCAGGTGCATTAGCACAAATCTGGGTTACAGGTGGATCAACAGGGGCACACACCAGTGTTCATAACAGATGTTGGCACCATAGGCTTAACCTGTTGCATCGCAATGCCAGCTCTGAGTCAAAAACTTTTTAAAAAAGATTTTCTTGCTTTTATGTCAGCTTTCTATTTTATAAGAGTGTTTCTAATTTTTGCAATTGATTGAGATTTTCTTTGTAGAGCGGTATGTTCAGTTTCTGTATTTGGTGGATATTTTAGAAGTTGCATTCTCAATTTTTATTGAGTAGAGATATATTCATATATATTCATATATTCATTCATTCATTCCATTGTACTCCTTTCTCCCTTGTTTTGTTACTGTTTTTATTTCTAGGTCAGAGAGACAGAAGAAGAACGTCCATCAACTAGTTCACTTCCCAAGTACCTGCTGAGAGCTGCAGGTTTTGATTTCTTGAGCTGAGAATCCAGTCCAGGTCTTCACATAGGTGGCAGGAACCCAGTTACTTTTTGAGTCATTCCCAGTGCTTCCCCGGGTATGAATTTGCAAGAAGCTGGAACAAGGAACTGGAGCCAAGGATGAAACATAGACACTCAGATGTGAAATGTGGGTGTCTAGAAAAGTCTTAACTGCTAAGCCAAATGCCCTCTCTTTCCCTTATTTTAAGTCATGATGCAGGTTTTTTGTTGTTTCTCTTGTGAGTTCTATAATTCCTACAGTTTTATGCAAGATATTTAGTTCTGTTTTCTTGGACAGCATTTGTGGTCACCTTATCAGCAATATCCAGTTTATACTTGTACTTCATTCTATATCCCTCACTGTTTAATTACAGCGGTTCCAGTGTTTATGTGTTGTACATTTAAATATACTTGTATTTCTAATCCTTGATCTTTCAACTTTGCCATCTACCTTCTGTGTTTCTTTCTCTCTTTTAGCCCCTTTGGTAGTTGATTCCATTTGCATTCCATTTTGCAGCTGTCATTCCCGCAATTGTTTTTCATGTACTCCTAGAGGTGAATGGATTTATTGTTCACTATAAGTACCTTTAGTATAGTTACTCCATTCATCTCTTAGTTAATTAGAGTTTGCTCTTTACTAGTTCCCTCAAAAGTAAGAATGGGTATCACACCCCACTTTTCCTAAATGTTTGTTGCATTTAATTTTTAGCAGTGTTTTAGCTAGGCTTAAAATTCTTTGTTTTCACTTTAATTTCCTGAAGGCTTAGTAGGTATTACTCTGCTGACATAGTCTTGACTGTTGGCATGTGGAAGTTTAAAGTCAGCAGATTCTTGCTCACCCTTTAAGTGCGTTTGTCTTTAGGACTAGATGCCGTAACGGATTTTGACATCACTTACTCCCCTCTGATGTGTCAACATGATTGAATTCTTACAGCATTGAGATTTAAGTTTTTTGTTTCTGGAAACTTTTGTTGAATTGTAGCTCTAGGTTTTTTGGCCGTTTTTGCTCTCTGTAGTTTTAGCGATTTCCTTTGACTTAGATCTTCATTGTGTCCCCTTTTGTACTTATTGTACTTATTGTCTTCAAATTCTGCTGATGTCTTGTTGATTTCTACTCGATTCTGAACATTTCCTCGATCCTGTTCTGTAAGTTGTTTACTGGGTTGATAGTAATGTTTTGCCTTGAACTGTTTCTAGCTTGCTTCCATGGAATGATTTCTGAAAGCTTGACTTCTTAGGTACATAAAAGTTTTTTTTTTTTTTAATATTTATTTATGTGGAAGCTTGAGTTATAGAGAAGGAGGGAGGTAGGGAGAGACAGAACTTTGTTTTGCTGGTGCACTCCCTGAATGGCTTCAGCAGCTGCACCAGGCTGAAGCCAAGAGCCTCCAGGAACTCTGCCCTAGTGTCCCATGTCGGTGTCAGGAGGTGCTGCTTTCCCTACTTCAGCAGGGAGCTGGGTCAGAAGTGGAGCAACCGGGACATGAAATGGTGCTGATGCAGCTCTGGGAACCCATTGCACCCTAACACTGGCCCTGCCTCTGCAAGGGCTTTCTTTAGTCTGCAACTGGAATTCTAGCAAGCACATAGTCAGGGCCGTAAGTAACTGTTTACAGAAAGACAGGACAGATGCCGCTCACCATCTGCTAGGTCAGCCAGTTGGCCCCATTGCTTCTTCATACTTTTCCAGATAATCAGAATCCCCTTTGAAGTTTTGCTGTTTCCCTTTCATCTGTGTTCCTTGCAGTGGTTCTTTTACTTTAATTTGAATGTGTATTGTTGTGGATGTTTTTAATTTGTAGATTTAAAAATAAATATTTTGAGGATTATCTGGTTCCATTAAATGGAAGGAGGATTATGGAATTGTCTGTGCTCTCCGAGCAGATTGACTGTTCTTTTCCCTAGGGAACAATTAGGAATGAATCCTGTGTCCATGATTTGTGATATTTTGTTCAACGTGAATATTATGTGACATTTGGAGAAAAATACACAAAACTGAGGCATATTCAGATTTGGATTGTCCTCAGGTCTGTGCATCTTAGTGGATTGTGCATGGGTGTGATAGATGCCTTTTTTTTTTGGATGCTGTGCCTCCAGCTGAGGGTTTTCCCCTGAAAGTCTTCTCTCTGTAACAAATGACAAAAGTAACAAAAGTAACAAAAGTCCTGGGGGGGGGCAGTGATTCTGCTGCTGTGCTTATAGCGGTCAGAGATGGGAGCAGCTCTCGTGTTCAGGTCTTCCCCTTGTTCCGTTTGACTCTTGGGAAGCTTGGGAAGCGTTTAGGTGCAGCTTTGGACTTGTGGGTTGCCATGTGAGACGATGCTGTGACCATAGGGCTGAAGAACCTGGGCAGTGATGTGCCCACAGAAGCTTTTGCAGTGGAGAAGCTGTTTTCTCCCAGGCTGTATGCATCAGGGTGTTACCTGTGTGTTTGAGTTGTGTGTGTGGCAGGGGTGTTCTTTCTACTCCTGAGATGCAGGCATAGGGAAGGGCGATTCTGAAAGAAAGCATGTGGAGGCTTAGAGCCTCACAGTTGAGAGATAGTGTCCCAGCCCTCATAGTGTCCTTTAAGTGCCACCCTGTGCCACTTGGCACGTGCCACCGTGACCTCTGATTCTGTGCCAGGCTCCTGCAGACGCACCTTTCTTGTTTCGATTAGAATGGTTATGTGAACTGTTTAGTGTTCCTCCTGTTTGCTGAGACAAAAATGCAGGCTCAGAGTGGAGTTACATGGCACCGTTGGCAGAGGCAGGGCTTGAATGCATGGCTCCTATTCCCAGGGCCCCGCTGTGATTACTGCGAGCCAGTCATGATGATGAGTCTGCACGGTGCTGCTGACCAAGCCGAGTCCTTGCGATCTCACCACACGTCGCTGAAGGCGCTGACTCAGTGGTCAGGTAGCCAAGGCGGATTTCCACGTCCCACCTGTCCCTCTCACTACAGGGGGAGAAGGCCTGGGAGGGTGAATGTTGGCCTTTTCCACAGATAATTCCATGGATGGTTACATGTATTTTGTCCCTTTTTCCTAACAGGAAACACCTTGAGGCCTTTGATGTCAAAATGGAAATCTTTATCCCAAAACCACTTGGCCTAGATGCAATGAGCGATGCGGAAGTAGTTTTAGGGGCACCTCCCCCGTTTCCCGTGTGGACTAGGAAGTGCTCTCTAATAACAGCTGGTGACTCAAAAAGTGTAGCCCAGCTAACATCGTGCTGCTTTTTCTAGGGGGAGTGTCCATGGTGGGGCTGGCTGAGCGTCCATGATGTTGCCCTGGCATGCTGTTGTAGCTTTATCGCTGGTGTACCGCTGCCCTCTCAGGCCAGGGAGGAACACTAAACAGTTCACATAACCAATCTTTGCCTGCCGGACACAAGACGCACACTCCCCCGTTGGCAGCTTACCCTCATCCAGATGGGAGAGCAAGAAGAAAAAAATTTAAAAATTTTAACATTTATCCTCTGCTTAACAGGATCCTGCTTTCCCGTTCCCCTCGGGGCTGCACTCGGAGCCTGGGCTGGGTTGGCATCCCCTTGTCTTCAGTCCGACGCAGTGTTTCTGTCATTTGTTACTTCTGCTGAGCAGAGCAGAGGTAACGAGGAGACCCCAAGCAGGCAGGCAGTGCTCTGTGTTCTGCTTTGGGTGGCCTTGCATCTGGAGAGGCAGGCTGGGGAGATGCCTGTTCTGGCCAGGGCGTATGGTCAGGGTGCATTCACAGACCTCCACCTTACTCCCCTGGCTGATGCCCCAGCCAGCAGCCCAGTCCCCGAGAGCAGCAGGAGCAAGGCTGCAGGCAGAGTGGCTCCTGGCTTTGGGGCTGCCGGGTGGTGAGGCCACTGGGCTGAGGGGAAATTATTCCTGTGCTGTCAAGGATAGAGTCTTGTCCTGAGGACAGTTAAAGAGCCCAGACAGGTCACTGGGTGAGACCAATTTCCTGGTTTGTTTATTTGAGCCCAAGTGTTCTTCCCGGCAGAGCAACAGGTCACAGCCCTGCTACATGGTTGCTGGGCCCCGCAGCGAGCAGTGCTGTGCTGGTGGAGGCTCCTGGCTGCCCCCAGCACATGACCCTGGCTGTGGTGGGATTGCCCTGCCAGCCTTGGCAGGCACATTGCCAGTAATCACTCCTGACTTGCTCTGATGCAGGCATTTGGCTTCATGACCCGCGTCGCCCTGCAAGCGGAGAAGATGAACCATCACCCGGAGTGGTTCAACGTGTACAACAAGGTAACTGCATGGTGTGCTTCTGGGGCCCTCTCAAGTATGGGGATTAAGAAGCTTCTTTCTCCCTTGTTGGGTGGCACAGCTTGGTGTCACCATGTTAAGAGCCCGCCCTTTACTGTTTCTCTTCTGTAAGTGACAGATTGGAGGTCTGCTGCCGAGCGTGGTGTGGCAGCTCTTCATCTCCGTGCCGGTCTCCCGCTGGAGGTGATGGGCAGAGTAGAGCCAAGAGAGGCTCTCCAGGGAGGCAAGCGTTTCAGGTGTACAGGCCCACTTTAAGGGAGGCTGTGGAAGGAAGGGAAGCACATCAGATCGGTGTGGCCTTATGTGTTCGGGGGAGACCTGAGCCCCCCTTGATGCTGCTGCTCTGTGGAGCCCCCTTTCATCCCCACGCCCCTGAGGTTCTTCTCTTGGAAGTACGAGTGGATGTTATTGGCATGATTTGGAGCAGCTTGATACCAGTGAGCTTTGCTTTCCTGCCTGGTGCAGAGTTTTCATTTAGTTGATTTGTCAAGATAGAGCACTTTGTCCCTTGCTGCATTTCCCACCCCCTTATTTGGAAATGTGCTTTTCTAATTTTCTAGCATTGTGGTACCATGTTTGATAGTTTAATTTTTCCTAGTGAATTAAAAGAGTTGGTGTCATTAAAGTGGTAGGTGTTAAAATGGACTCTGAATCTCCAGCCCCCCCCCAATATTTTCTCCAAGACAGGAGTTGAGGTCCAGGCAGCTGAGTTGTCTCTCGTAGGAGAGGGACCTTTTTGTCCCTGGACAGCTGCTGGGCCTGGCCTGAAGCCAGCAGTGCCTTCGCAGTTGGCTGGGTTTTGGTAGTGCTGTGTCTGTTAACTTACAATGTCTTATTTTCTGATGTGTTTAGTCCTCTCATGTCATAGATACAAATATTGCATAGTAGGCTCATTTCTGACCCACACGACGAGCAGAGTGCAGCCTGACCCATGTTTCAGCACCTTAAACATGGCCTTCTCTTCTCTCAGGTCCAGATAACGCTCAGCTCGCATGACTGCGGCGGACTTACCCAGAGAGACGTGAAGCTGGCCAAGTTCATCGACAAAGCAGCCACTTCTGCCTCTGTGTGATTCCTTCCAGAATGCATGTAAAGTCTTGGGCATATCTTAGCTGTCGTGTAGTTGAGAGGCAATTTTACATGGATTGATTAAACTGTAAACTTAGAACCTCTGTATGACATTTGTTAAGATCAGCGCTGAAGTGTAAAACTCAACTGTGAAGCATTTCTCACCCTATCTAATCCCTTACAGGAGATGCTGTAACCCAAGAGGTTTGGGAAATACCGAAAAGTGGCATCCTATAAGATAAGAAGTGCTATAAGGATGCGTTCACAGGCTTTATAACCCAGACATTCACGATACAAATGAGCTCTGTTGCAGAACAGTGGTGAGGTGGAAAAAGAATCAAGAGCCCTGCAGGTGGTGGTTTTTTAACTTTATATACAACAATTCTTGTGAAGCCAAGGTTCAAACTGTAGCTGATGATTCTGCTTAAGTAATTAATGAGGTGACATAAGTCACTGATGTCGGATGAGCTCTTGTGGCTTACTTTTCTGACAGGGAACTGAAGCGGCAGACGTGTGTCTCACCCCTGGCTTCTTGGAGATAAGGTGGCGCTACGAGGACTGAATGTCCCAGGGACCAGTTCAGCGATGAGGGGAGGAACTGCCTGCTGTTGCATTCAGTGTTTAAATGTTGTGACCCCCAACCCCCAGCCAGAGGGTTTGCAGCTTCAGGATTCCACAGGGGTGTCCTTGGGATGCACTCCCTTCAGGAGCCTTTAGAGTCACCCTGTTGCCACCAGCCCCAGCTCGGGCCTGAGAGCCCATGTGGAAGCATCACACAGTGGCTGTGCTCGCAGAAGCCAGAGCCTGGCTGGCTCTGCTGCCAGGAGAGGCTGGTGTGGACAGCTGGTGTCAAGGTCTGTGTGAGCAGGGGCCAGGCAGAAGAGGCCACCGGCTGAAGGGCACAGAGCCCTGATGCTAGCACTTCTACTTCTAGCAATTTTTTTTTTTTTGTTTGGTCAAAGGAAAAGGCAAAGCTGTGTGGTATTAGACTCTCTTTGTCTGTTACAAATCTTACCAAAGCGTTTGAGTTCAGTGCTTTGGATTTTTCAGATGAATATTTTAGGCATGAGCAAATTGGAACCTACTGCAAAGTACAGCAGGTGATATACTGAGCCCTTCCATGCTCATCGCCTGGGTGCTTGTGTATAGTAACTGCCAGCATGGCTGGTGCTGTTGTTCCACATAATTCCCCTTTTTATTTTCCTTGCTAAAGTGTTTCGAAGCAAACCCCAGGTGGTATGTCATCTTAAGTAAGCTGCTAAGAAGCACAATCATTTTCCTGTGTAAGACGCCGTGCCATTATCACACCTAACAAAATAAACCGTGAGTTTTTGGTACCACCTGGCACGCTTAACCAGATTGCCCTGCAGGTCAAGAACATGTCTGGGCAGTGATATTGTTCTCAGCAGGCTTCCTAGCCAGTTATGGTGTATCCTCACGCCTTCTGTGCAGAGGAGCCGGATTCCCATAACCCATACCTGACTTGGAAGAGTACCAGGGATGCTCATCCTGTGGGATGCTCTCCCTTCTGCGGGGGTTCAGTGGCTCCCTCCTGTTGTCATGTCATGTGTTGCTGCTCTACCCGAGTGAAATCCTTCCTCCCAGTGTTAAATGGTCTTAGCAGTTAGACCTGACAGCCTCGTTGGCAGGCGTATCACATGTAAATGGCAGAAAAAGCAGGATGTGGCTCCTCAGCCAGGCAGAGGCGCTGGACACATGATTTCACATCCATGAAGGGTGTGGCATATGCTGGGACCTGGACCTCACTGCAGGTTGAAGATGGCGTATTACAAGCCTGTGATAGATTCTAATGGAAGGAATCCTACTTGCTCGGAGTAACTAATCGTTCACGTTAATAGAGACGCTGTCCACGTTGAAGCCCCAGGGCCTCGTCTGTTCCAGATGTTCAAGTGATGACAGTGCTTTCTCTCGGGGTGGGGTGGGAAGCAGCCTTTCTCCATTTTCTTCCATAGTGATCGGCAGGACAGAGAAGAATGAAGCACACACCACTGAGGCCTCTCTACATGACCTCCCCCTGTGACAGATGGTCTGCGTTGGGCAGCTTCCTTTGCGTAGTAAAGTTAGCACACGTTCTGAAATCTTGGTGGCTTTCTGGCATTGGTGGGATATAGGAAATAAAGCATGGTTCTTCACAGTTAGAAAGCAACAGCATGTGTGCCATATTTGACACAATCTGACCTCCAGCAGTGCTGAACGTTTGGACTACTGGTGTTATGATGGAGCCTCTGGGTGTGTGGTGTTCTGCAGCATTCCAAAATGCATCTGAACTCTGAAACTCTCTGTTGTACAATTTCCTGTGAGCCCTCAAGAACCATGCCAGGGTTTGGCTGTAATGCAGAAGCTCCACTCTCCATACCAGTGACGTGGGACTGGTGAAGAAGTGCCTGGCCACAAGACCACCACACACCATACCTGCTGCCTGCTGTCTCTCTGGTCTGTGCAGGTAGAGTGGTTGCTTCTGCTGCAAGGACAGGAGATGTAGCCCTTTTGGTGTCTCTTTCGGGCTTCCTGTGTTGTTCACTGTCACCAGAAGAGACAGATGATTCCAGTCGACCCTGGATTGGCCAACACCTGGTTCCTGTCCACTCACCCGGCTGGAGTTCGTCCTTAGAAGGCACGTCTTGGTCAGGGACTTCTGTGGTGGTCCTCCTTCAGCCTGCCATCATCATAGAATAATGCCCTAGGTTTCTTACTGTCTGTTTCTCCCTGAAAGTGTGTTTTGGCATTGAAAGTAGGCAATTCCAGATGTGTGCAGCTGGGCTTCCCAGGGATGTCACGCCTCCAGGCACAGCCACGATGCCATGTGTGAGTCTGCACAACACACCATCATTCAGGACCTTCTGTGTGCTCCAGGCATGGGCCAGGTGCGGCTTGAGGTGGAGAACTGGTTCAAGGCTCTTTTGGGGCAGCTGTGGTGGGAGGCTGCCTTGGGGACATGGGCAGGAGGTTCCAAAACAGCAGGTGCTGTGAGAGCAGAGGTGGCAGCAAGAGTCAAAGCTACTCTCTGAGGGACAGAGCGGAGTGGGAGGATGTGGCTGCTGTGAGTCCTGGGGTGTTAAAGTGGTTCTGAGAGCTTTGCTGTTGATGAAATGGGGAAGACAGATACATCCGATGTTCTGTCCCCACTCAGTGCATCCTGAGTTGCCTGCCAGGGTGTCCTCCTATGAGGAGTGGTCTTGTAGAATACAAGGAACAGGGGGACCTGGAGTGGCTGCCTACCCCTCATAGCCCAAGCATGTGGGTATGCAGGACATCAACCAGGTCAGCTCTGGGCTGCCCAACCCTGTCTCTCCTGATTTGCCTTGAAATCCATGTTAGGAGGAAAGTGAGAAAATAACAAAAGCACAACAAAGGATTAATAAAATTTATAAGTTTTATAATTTTATTTAAACTATTTTAAAGATTTACTTATTTAAAGTTTTTTTTTTATTGTGAAAGGTTTACAGAGAGAAAGAGAGACAGGAAGATCTTTCTGTCCACTGGTTCACTCCCCAAGTGGCCACAACACCCAGCTGAGCTGATCTGAAGTCAGGAGCCATGCGAGTGCAGGTTCCCAAGGTTTTGGGCCATCCTCGACTACTTTCTCAGGGAAAGCAGGGAGCTGGATGCAAAGTGGAGCTGGCCAGGTATGAACCGATGTTCATATGGGATGCCAGCACATGCAAGGTGGGGACTTCAGTCGCTAGGCTACTGTGCCGGACCCTGAAAGATTTATTTTATTTTTGAAGGAGTGAGAGAGAGAGATATCGAGAGATCGAGATCTACCTGCTGGTTCACTTCCCAAATGGTTGCACTGACCAAGGCTGGATCAGGTCAAAAGCAAGAGCCAGGAGTTTCTTCCAGGTGTTTCATGCGGGTACAGGGGCACAAGGCTTTAAGCTATCCTCTTCTTTCCCAGGTGCATTAGCAAGGAGCTGGATTGGAAGTAGAGCAGCTCGGACTTGAACTCTCATCCATATGGGTTGCTCGCATTGAAGGCAGTGGCTTAACCCCACAATGCCACAGTGCTGACCTTAATTACGTGAATGAAGTCTCCTTGTTGCTCTTATGCCAAAGGGTCTCCATCCTTTACGCCCTGCCTTAATGCTGTTTCAGTGGCGCCTCATGAGTTTCCCTGCCATCTCCCCGGTTGTGCAGTGCAGGGCCAACATGGAGTGTTGCATCTGCTCTCTTTGGAGGAGAGGCAGGCCAGTCACCTCCTGGAATGGCTGGGAGTGACCTCATAAAGCCAGGATTCCCATCCCAGGTTCCTGTGCACTGCGTCTCGGAACCCAGTCACACAGGGAACCTCTAAGCAGAGTTTCTCCTGGGAGATAAAAACAAACAGACCCAGACAGCTGGGAAAATGGTGCGAGTCTCTCAGCAGCTCGATAGCTCTCAGTTGCGAGTTGTTCCCAGCTCGCTGTTGGACACTGCATCAGTGGCGCTTTATGCACAGTTCAAGAAATATAAGTAAATATTTCTGTTTTCTCGCTTACAAAGAAACGTGCCTGTGGCAGTCTCGGCTCCTGTCCGTGCCGTCTGCCCACCGGTCTCTGACCGCTGTTACCTGGTTTGGTTCAATCTTGTCCTTCTCTGTTGGTTACTGTGTTTGAAGATTTAAGAGTAATTTTGTTGTTAATAGACCTCAGATCATGAAGACTACATATTTTGTCTTTTTGGCTTATAAATATATGTTTTAGATTTTATTGCAGTGAGATTATATTCATTTGTTAAATGTATTGGGAAAAATAACACATACCCCACGAAAAATGGCAAGGCAGGGATAGATAAAAATCAGAAAAAGGATCATCTGTAAATTGGCCAGCTGTAGGTGGGCATGGTGACATTCTGGCCTATTTTCTGCTGATTTTTCTTTCCATTTTTGCATAGACAGGATGATTTTCAACAGAATTAAAAAAAAAAAACTCCATTTATTTATTTGAGAGAGTTACAGCGGGAGAAATCATTCACTGGTTCACTCTGCAAATGGCTGCAGTGGTCATCACCGTGCTGGTTGGAACCGGGAGCTTCCTCTGGGTCTCCCATGAGGGTAGCAGGGAGCTGGGTCAGAAGCAGCCGGGACTCACCAACACCCAGACGGAATGCTGGTTTCGCCAGTGGAGGCTTACCTGGCTTTGCCCCTGAGCAGAGAATCTCGTGTTTTGTTCTGTGTTTTCCTCGCTGGTGGGTCATAAGCTAAGTGATGGAATAATGTACAGGAAGATATTATTTTCTGTGTTTTAGGACCTGGACATGCCACGGTTTACTTAGGCAGTTCCTTCTGTTAGACATTCATGTGGTTTTTCAAGCTCCTGCTGGTGGTTATGGGGTTCCTCTCTCTGGCCATCTTCCCTGCATTGTGGGTTGGGTGCTCTCAAGGAGGGAGAGGCTGTGAGGGATTCTCCTGCTGTTCCGTTACCCGATGAGAGCTGCCCCATGCTAAGAGGGACCATGGCCAGAATGACAAATTGGTTTGCCTGTCCCCAGATTAATACACTTGTGTGTTTGGGGGATGTTTATCAACAATTTGTGTTTCTTCATTGAATTGATTGTGTGGCTTCTCTCTCTCAATCATTGGCTCGTAAGCTTTTGTGTGAGTGATCATTTGGGATCAGCTTTTCCTCCTGATTGGACAGCATTTGATCTAGCTCACAGCGTGTTCCCAGTGCTAGCACCACCCAGGGCGCAGTAGCCACTCAGTGAGGTTTTGTTGACCAAGTACATGTGGAGGCTGCTGCATTTTTTTTTTTTTTAAGATTTATTTTTATTATTTTTTCATTGGAAAGGCGGATATACAGAGAGGAGAGACAGAGAGGAAGATCTTCCGTCCGATGATTCACTCCCCAAGTGAGCGCAACGGGCCGATGCTATGCCGATCCGAAGCCAGGAGCCTCTTCCGGGTCTCCCACGCGGGTGCAGGGTCCCAAAGCTTTGGGCCGTCCTCGACTGCTTTCCCAGGCCACAGGCAGGGAGCTGGAAGGGAAGTGGGGCTGCCGGGATTAGAACCGGCGCCCATATGGGATCCCGGGCGTGCAAGGCGAGGACTTTAACCACTTGCGCCACCGCGCTGGGCCCGGCTGCTGCATTTTGCTTGAGGAGTGGTGGCTGTCTTTTCCTTCCCCTCCAGAGGTACAGCAAGATGGGACTGCATCACGAGAGCGCAGAGGGTCGATGTTGACTGTGCATCTATTCCAGTGGCCACTCATTCACTTTTCTTTTTAAAATAAGAGGTTTATTTTCTTGAGTTACAGGCAGAGAAAGATTTTCCATCCACTGGTTCATTCTCCAAATGGTTGCAATGGCTAGAGCTGGAGCCAAAACCAGAGTGGGTCAATCTAAAACCAGGAGCCAGGAGCTTCGTCGGGTTCTCCCATGTGGGTGCGGGAGTCCAAGAACTTGGGCCAACTTCCACTGCCTTTCCAGGCACATGAACAGGGACCTGCATCAGAGATGGAGCAGCTGGCACCCCTGTGAGTGGCACAGGGCAGAGGATTATTTTGCTACATCACAGCACTGGCCATGCTGATCCCTGTTTCTTTCTTTTCTTTTTTGTTTTATTTTTAAAAATTATTTATTTTACTTGCAAGCAAGGGAGAAACAGATCTTCCAACCACTGGTTCCTTTATCAAATGGCTGCTGTAGCCAGTGCTGGGCTATTCTGAA